AACTTGTGAGTTAGAAAGTACAATTTGGGTTACATAAACCTTGAATAAACCTTTAGACCCATAAAGACCTGCACAGAAAATATTATTTAGGGTCAAATAATCCTTCAAAACCTTTAAAGTTCATGGTACAGTTGTGTCACTGCCACAGTCATCACAATCTTGAGCGACAGCTGGTCAGGATAGTCTAGAGTGAACCCAGAACCACCAAAAAGCAGGTCTGCAGTGAATTAGAAGCTGCTGGAACACAGCTGTCAGTATCCACAGTGTTCTTCAGGAGCTGAGAAGCTGCATGAAGGAGGAAGTTCTTCCTCGAGAAGCAGAACCTGAAAGCTCCACTGGAGGTTGCTGCTGATCACATGGACAAAGAAAAGACCTTCTGGAGGAAAGTTCTGTGATCAGACGAAACTAAAAAAATGATATTTGGCCACAATGAGCAGAAATATGTTTGTAGAAGAGAAGACAAGGCCTTTAATCCCAAGAACACCAAACCCACCGTCAGGCACGGTGGTGGCAGCATCATGCCCCAGAGGACAGTAGAACTGGAGCTTTACACAAAGTAAATGGAATAATGGAGGAGGATCACCTCCACATTGTTCAGAAAAACCTAAAATCATGAGCCAGAAGGTTGGTCTTGGGACACAGTTGGATGTTTTAACGAGACAATGACCCCAAACACACATCAAAGTGGCAAAGAAATGGTTCAATCAGGCTGGAATGAAGGTTTTAGACTGGTCCCCCCAAAATACTGATTTAAATCCATCAAGAACCTGTGGACTGATGAAGAAACAAGTCTGTGTCAGAAAGACAAGTTATGTTTAACAGCACCAGTTCTGTCCAGGGAAGCCAAAGACAGGACCAGAAGCTTGTGGATGGAACCAAAAGAGTCATGTTGAGGTGAAAATGGGCAAATGACATTTAATTAAATATTATCGCTGTGTTTAAACTTGTTGACCCAGCAGCGTTTGTCATGTTTCCAGTGGCTCTACACATTTATAAAAGATGTTTGTATGTTTTGTTCCAAGTCAATGACTGCACACACACCACAGCTGTACCATTGAATTGTCTTTAATAATGAAAATAAACTAAACAAGTAAAGACATGGCCAGTCACAGACATTAGTGCACCAGCACAATCATCGTTTGGCTAAAAAAAAAAAAAAAAACAGAACCAGCACGAGTCGGTCACAGAAAAGTGTCGGAGTTTGGATCCAGTGATGTAACTCAGGGATACGGATGTAAAAGCATTCAGTTAAATTAAGACGTTCACATTTTTGTTCACCAAATTTCCTGTGACTGATGAATACTCGCACAACCAAACGTGTTACTCGAGCGTGCTAAAAAAAACCATGCGGCGGGTTATACAAGCGGTGCAATGTCAGCTACAACAATCAGGTCTTATTCTAAAGATTATGACGTTAAATGTGTAAATACTCAGCCGTGACCAGAACCGGTTTCTTCCTGCGAGCAGCTTCGACACATCCCCCAGTTTCACCTTCCATGCTAATGTGAAAAATGCCTGTACCTTGTTGAATACAAAAGACATATGCGAGGAAAAAAAAAAAAATCGACATTAAATTACAGCGTTCAAAAAATAAAATAATCTATTTTAAAGAAAAAAAGGATTAAAAAATTATATCTACATCTGTATATATATATAAAAAATGAAAGATTGTAATAATAAGTTAGATTTTTTTTTCAATATGGAAACCCAGATTTTTTTTTTTTAACATCTGCAAAAGTGACAGAGGATTGCTTATCGACAAGTGTTTGTTTCATATGTAAATACACGTGAGTCAAACAGCGACAGAGATCCGGGTCGACGGATGTCTTGTGCCGTCTGACCCGGGCTTGTTGAAATGTCACCGAGGGTTGGTGGAACCCTGCACGGTAGCAGCGAGCGGACGGCGCGCCCCGATCACAGTTCAGAGGATGGGGAACCGAGAGCAGCAGGCTGAAAACACGGAGGTTAAAACTGCATATGATCCACCCGGAGGTGTGGAATGGTTTGAATATTCAGATCCATTCACCACAGTACTGTAAACGCAGGGATGGACCGATTATCGGGGCCGATATTTTTTTCTCCCAATTATCGATATCTGTGTTTTTATAAACCGATTAACTGAGCTACTCGTCACTCTGTGAAATCAGAAATGTCTCTCGAGCGGAAACTGCAAAAAACTGAACACAAGCAGTCCCCACAAACAGCGGCTAAGGCTACGCTAACGGCTAGCGGCTAAGCTAGAAGGCAGCCACAGATGAACCTGAAACAGAGTCTGGAAAACTATTTATGATTTGGACCTTAGTAGGAATTAAAAGTGAAGAACAGTAAAAGATTAAGAAACTAGAGAAGAACAATAACTGAACAGAGGAGACAAATGATTCCCTCCTATTTCTATTTTATATATTCAGCTATAATCAGCCTTATTAATTAAGAAGCCTACTAATGAATGACAGGTCCTCTGCTGTATATCGGTCCCAAACATCAGTCATCAGTCTTTCTCGATTACCAGCGATCGGCCCTGACAGCACCGGCCCTAATCGGTCGATCCCTGCTATAAAGAGCTCGGTTGTGCTCTCCTGGGGTTTAAGTGTTCTGCGAGACCATCCAGTTTCTTTCTAAGGGCCACTCGGATCAATACGAAGGCAGATGAGGTAAAAAACAACAACACATCGCTCTTCGTCTGCCTTCCTTTGCGGTGGCCCTTATTCAGAAAAGCTGGGGGCGGCTGAATGCTGCGTCCGGCGCTCTGCCTCTGCATCTAACGAGTGCATTCTGACAGCGATGAACGTGTTCCCTGACGCTGGAATGAATGAGAGGACAGATGAGGTGGAGCATGTGTGGAGCACGCTTTAAATGCAAAAGCAGAGGATGAGGACACAGGTTAAGGCACCGTATGAGTCACCTGACGAATCTGAGGACAGCAGCTAGTGTTTAATCTGCTCTGTTTAATCCAGAACGTGTCCGCAGAGGGTGTTTGTTCTGTGCTGAGCTCTCTCCCGTCGTTCCCCACCTCTCGTCTCGTCTTGCGCCCGAAAGGAAGAACAGCATCTACTGATTACAGCGAGAGGCCGAGTTGGCAGCGCGCTCTGCTTTCCGGCCTCTACGGTTACAATCATACACAGAGGAAAGAATAGTTTTTGCCTTGGAGGAAATTTGCACATTTGTGACTCCAAATTCGTATCCAACTGGAGCTAACCTAGCTTAGCATTAGGACTGTGAGCAGGGAGGAAACGGCTAGCCTGCCTCCGTCTGTAAAAACATGTTCCAGGTACTTTGGGAGTCGCATATTGTAGCTGCAGCAGCCAGATAAGATCATCTATGTACCTCCAGCTTTGTATTCACTACAGATGCATGACAAATATTTAGAATATTGGGGGGAAAGCTACACATAAAGTGAACTATTTCAAGCCTTTTCTTGTTTTAATTTTGATAATTATGGCTTAAATTATAAATGTAGAGCATGTGAAATTCAACCTTTTTGAATTAAATCACAAAAACGCGACTTTCTTTCAACTTTCAAAATACCCAAAACATCTTTGTACTTTTCTTTTATGTACAAATTGGGCAAATTAATTATATTAATTATTCATTTGTAGGCCGACGGAGGCTGTCATGACTAATGCTAAGCTAGGCTAGCAGCAAACATATGACAATTTACCGTTTTTGAGTTAAATTCAGAAACCTTTTTGAGCTGTTTGAGATGCACCTGAAAGTCATCTCACAGCCAACTCTCTGCAGCAAAGCAATCAAGTCTATTTCCCAAAACGATGAACTATTCCATTAAGACAGAAGCCGACACACAGCCACACACACACACACAGCCACACACACACAGACACACAACTTAAAGCTGCAATCTCACGACATCAGAAGACCGATCACAGAAAAAAAAAAAACAGCGCATTTTGACATAAAAAGTCTATATTGAGGCAGTGACGCACACTGATACGACAACACATCCGCTCACACACACACACACACACACACACACACACACACACACAGTCTGTTAGCGTCCAGTTAGCCGCTGCACCACATCACATGTCCACACCTACAGTAAGACAGAAGACACCCAACGCACATGTGGGAAGATACAAAGAAGTAGTGCACTGAGGATACTGCAGTCCGAACCCACCACCACCGTTTCTCTATACGTTAAGATCACTGTGATGTGTATATAAGACATTACTGACATTCAGCCGAATGTGAGGGAAGCTTTGAGCAGTGATGTGAGGCTTCATGCGCGGCTGCTGCTGTTGTGTTGTCGTCGTCGGGGTGAGGAGGGGCGACAGCTAACAGTGGTGCGGTTACAGTTCAAACCTACAAAGCAGCATTAGTCTTAAAAGTTGTGTGTAGTCACAACTGATCCCATCCTCTCTAAGTCGAGTCCCGTAATGGAAAGGTGCACAAGAGGAGGAGGCGGTGATAGCGGTGGTAGGACCTGTTACTTGGGCACCAGGCCGCGGGCTTGTGGGTAAAGAGGGGATCCTGGACTGGAGGGGCTGAACGGAGACGTCGGGGTGCTCGACTTCTTGCCTGTTCTGGGTCGACTGAGGGACAGAAAACAGCGGCAGGAGGTTAAACAGCATCCAAATGCACATAATACAAGAAGCACCAGCTCACCCACAGCTCACAATACATACAACTTGTGGTTCTGACAGATGACAGAAAGCTTCAGCTTTTAGTTCATCTGCCTTCTCAGATACAAAGCAGTGGAACAGGAACACCATCCCTGCAAACGCTGAAGATTCAGGAGGCTGTACAGTGTTTAAAACCAGCCTCATGTCAGCACAACACTCTCACCACCAATGATGACCTTCTATTCATTGTTTTTACTGATTTTATTTATTATTGTTTAATGAAGTGTAGTTATTGCTGGGGATTGTTCCCTTTTCCTGTACCTGCTCAGGGACAACAGATCCAAAGCAGCTTATTTTGGTGCAGTTACTTATTTCTCGTGGATTAATCGTAGCAACTGCTTGAGTTCCTTGAAGATGTTCCACCTCTCATCCAAGAGGCTTCATCAGGTCTGACTGACTAGTTCCAGATACTGATATCCTTAAGGAGCCATTAACACCTGAGTTTATGTTTCAACTGGGGGTTTGTTGCTCCTCCCCCTCGTTATGTGAGTCGTTAGTGCTCCCCCTGACACAATGGGGTTCGTTAGGGTCTTTAGTGGCTAGGTGTGGTTTCATCTTCCTGGGGAGAGATCTTAGGACTGAGTTGTAAACAGGTGAGAGGTGATGCCTCAGACCTCCACCTCTGTTGAGGGATGGGCTTTCCGGTTGCAGTTACTTTTAATTGTGTGCTGTCTGCAGAAATAAACAAATAAACTAAACAGGTGACAGTCTTACCCAGACTTTGGTTTCTTGAGGCTGCTGCTGGCGCTGGCGTACGGTGAAGATCCAGCGCTGCTGTGGAAGCCGGAGGCATCGACCTGGATCTCGTCCTCATCCCTAAGAGCGTCCTCCAGAGCTGCCGCCACCTTTGGGGCGATAACTGGCTCCTGGTACTCCTTAGTGGTCCGTGCCGGCAGGTCCATGTCCAACGCCAGGATGTTTTCAGCCTAAAGGCAATTCAGGTGCATTTCATGTGTTAGCGATGAAGGTTAGCATGAAAACGCTGATGACTAATCAAAATGCCGTACCACATTTATGCTTCTGAAAATACTGCGTGCTAAAATTGGGGCTGAGAAAATGTTTTGGGTGCAGCGTATAATATTTACAGAATGTATTTGATCATCTTAGCTATGATACCATGGCTCAGGAAGAATCCAAATTCTGATTGGCAGGAAAGTGTAAATCAACTTTCAAGCCCCACTTCCACCTGATCTCACCATGTGATCTGTATTCTGTCTGTCTGGTGTTATTATACATTCTTGACGTATCAGTTTTGCCCAAAACTTGATCTGATCTCAGAGTGTATATTAGTTAGGCTGTCTTAACAACATAATGAACCTCAGAGGGGGCGTGTTAAGAAGCAGAATGAAGGGTTAAGTGATGTTTGTTGATCCTAAAAGGTTTCACCTGCTACATCACCATGGTAACTGATGCTGCACTGATAGAGAAGGTTCTGTTAAATCAGCTGTGAGGAACGCCCAGAAAACCTTTTTAATGATGTCCAAATGGTAAGAAAAATAATAATTAGTTATTACGTAGGAATTAACTCTTTTTAGCTATTAAGCTTTGTGTGGCATAAAGCTAATACTAGGATGGTGGATCTTAGCTTGTTTGTCATCTCTTACAATCATAGAATCATAGCCTTTCTCATCCCATACTAAACTCTCTGTGATTCTATTTGTTCTCATCCTTCAGGCTATATGAAGTCAGCTGCACTGTTGGAACTGCCTTGTTTGGTTTTGTGTGATCAGGGCGTCTAAGCTCAGCCCTTGTGGTGAAAACTGTGAAACAGGATGTGGACAGAAGAATGTAGAAGCAGCGCATCTGTGTGATTGTATATATGTGTGGATGCATTTATTAAAAAAATGGCAGGAGGAAGTGCAGCTCACTTTGTATCTCATGTCAGGCCTCAGCATCATGGCCATGCGTGCGCGGTGGCTGAGAGGCCTCCTGTAGCCGACCGCGGACAGAGGCCTGGTCATCATCTGGTGGTCGCTGAAGCAGACACGCAGAGAGGGTTTAACACACAGCATCACACACAGCGTTTCTGTGTTAGTTTGTCACACAATAAAGCAACGATACGATCTGTCGTTACAGAAGAAGGAACACTATGATGAATGTTCTATAAACATTCTGAAAGCTTTAAACGCTGCTTTATCTCAAAAGCAAACCTTCCACGAAAACGAAAGATTCTAAGATTATCTCGAGTTCAGTAAAAGCTGTTTTTTTTTTTTTTTACCGAATTCTAAAGAAACATACAATAAACATGTCATTCTCTCTCTTTGGTGCCCTTTTCTGAACCTACATGTAAAATTCAAATGAGTCTAAGCTAGTCTCGTCCTGTTAGCATCATTTTGCAGAAGAAGAAAACCAAAGCTGTGGCGTATTTCTTTACACCAATCATAACTGTCTTGGGCGGGGTTAAAAACGGGACCCGGTGACGGTGGTGCACAGCTACAAGGGCAACAAATCACACCTTTAGCCTGTAAACATTCATTTTCATAAATCATTCATTATACAAGCGCTACATTAACATTTCACAGTCGTGTACATGTTCAAGTTGGAGCGTCTCTAACCAGATAAGAACGCGCCAAAAGGCTCGTCGTGGAACTTACTCCTCTATGCGTGTGATCGGCTTCATTTTCCAATACTCGTCCTCCTCGTCAAAGAAAGCCCTGTTGACTATTTTGTTCTTTTCCTCCAAGGGAATGAAGTTTTCGATGATCAGATGCCTGAAAGACAAACAAACGACAGGTTAGACTGATCGAGAAACAGGATGAGATAGAAGAAAGTACAGGCAAACATGTCAGGCCCAGGTCATGTATGTCTTAGCGGGTTTAATAAGTGGGATTAAAGTCTGCAGGAAACAGTGTAAAGACAGAAGATCTTCACAGTGTCTGCTGCCTCCTCTACCAGACAGCGTTGGTATCAGACACGGTATTGATCGGAGTCTTTTCGTCAGGCCAACACAGTGATACTCGGGCTCCATACTTGAGTTTGAGGTCCCTGGTGAGCTCGTTCTGGGTCTGTTCCAGCTCCTGCCGCTCATTGATGTGAGCCTCCTGGATGTCCTGGATTTCTGCCTTCACCGCCTGCAGCTTGGCAAACAGCTAGAGGATGGAGAGGGAGAGAGGAAACAGGGCTGCCATGACCGAGAGGACTTTGAGAGTATTCAGCCTGAGAATTTGGCTTAAACACCTGGCTGTCACGATGAATAATGGGCTGCCCAAATAGGACAACAGAGCTAATAATGTATTCTTACCGGACTTAAAATAGTACCCGACCTACTTACTTGAAAGATATTTTCTTACCTGACACATAAAGCTTCAAGTACTGTGCATCAGAGGTTTTCCAAACTATCAGCTTATACTGACAGCAGAACATGAGACCTCTGCTCTGCTGATGTTTGTCTACTGATGACAAGGTGAGAATTGTTACCAAAAGATTCTACTAGGGTAATTATTAACTCCCTAAATCCAAAATGCACCTGAGGAAAGTCCCTCCCACTCTGACGTTCCTTCATAAATCAGGCTAGAATTTAGGTATTAGACTGGGCTCCCCACAGTACTGACTTGAAGCCCATCAAGAACCTGTAGACTGTGGTGAAGAAACATGTCTGCACCAATTCTGTCAAGAGACGGGTCAAAGATAGAACCGGAAACTTGTGGACGGAAACCAAAAGCGCTTCGATGAGGTGAAAATTCTACAATAATACAGTTTCATTTAGCAGACGCTTTTATCCAAAGCGACGTACATCTGAGAGAAGATACAACACGAGCAAGGATCTAGTCAGGAGAGAACAATCTGGAGAAGTGCCATCAAACAAAAATGTTGAAGGGAGATTTAAATAAGAACAGTCGTGACTCGATAATCCGACACTAAATGTAAAACCTTGTTTTATGTCGGATAGCAAGGTCGTCAGATTGTCAAGACGGAGGTCGAGATGCAAGGAGGGCTTGATGCTGGAAGGCTCATTAGTTAATATTCATTGTTTATAGTTGTTATAATAACTAGTGGGGCTGGTCCCAATAGCACTTTCTGGGCTCTGGATATTTGGGCCCAATTGATGATGAATATTTGCCGCGGTTGGGGGACACTTCCACCCCGGGGCAGCGCTCTGACGGGGTGGAAGTGGCCGGAACACACAGGCAGTACTTGGCTGCTGATGCTAGTTTAGTTAGCGCTCACACTTCTGTTTCCACCATCGGTGGCGGTGGGGGAGTGGAAGATACACTCCACCGTTACCATCTGTGTTTAGACACTGAGCACGCTCGCTGTGTGTGACGTCGTCGTGTCCTCTTCTGCGCATGCGGGACACTTTTGGGTCGTATGAAGTTCACACAGCAGATCAAATACAAGTCGTACTTAATTGGAAATGTGAAGGAACTCACAAAAAAATCTGAATGTAGCATCAAGTCCTGCAGTGTGAACGTAGCCAATCTGTGGGATTGTTCAGTCAGATAATACGCCGTCATCCTGATTGGTGACATAAAACGTCATGTTGGAGTCAGAATCCAAGGCTGTCGGTATATTAAGACTGTTTTTAATGGGTTCTGTTGGTTTTTCCTAAAAACCTGTCGGAGATCAAGGTTTAGGATTGTTAAGGGTCGGATTATCGAGTCACCACTGTATTTGCACTTCTATATGTATAGTTCTGACCCAGCCGTTTCCGTCATATTTCCAGAAGACCCATAACAAACCTACAAAAGAACTGAAATGCACGATTGATCTGTGTGACAAAGATGGACGTGTTTCAGTCATTCCATTAGAGGAAACTCAAGGCTGCCATGACGCACATGGTCTTTACAAGTGTAGGTCGAACAGTGTCTGGTGTCGGCGTGTTACAGACGACTAGAAGGACGGCAGTGAACTAAACCAGCCTCTACCTTCTTCAGCTTCTTGGTCTTGATGTCGACCTCCTGCTGCAGAGAACTGTACGTCTCCTTCAGCTCCAGAGTCTCTTCGTCACGACTCTCCATCTGCTGCTGCATCTCTCGCTCTCGTCGTTTCTGGAAACAAACACAACCACACGCGGTTATTCGCAATTTTAAACAACATCGCTGCGTCTAGTGTGGCTACAACAGACAGACTGAGAGGGAGGGAGGTCGTCACGTGGCGGAAAAATTTACTCAATGGTCAAAAACTATCATTGTCAAACAAGTCATGGCCTATATTGTGTAGGTTGTGTAATATTGGTTTCTACTGGATATAATAAATTTGGATTCACAGGAGAACTAACAGCTTCAGTAGTGGCTAAGAAGTTTACTCTTGCAGCCACTTTATTAATTAATGGAGGTCACGGTTTAAGCTTCAAACTACTGCAAAGATTGTTTTAGCCGCATGACTGCTCCACTTAGAAATGTCAAAGACTAAATTAAACTATTGTCAAAACACGTGATATCAACAGAATCACATGGGGCGTCTCTGTAGGGCAGAAAGCTGCAGCGTGGCCGGGGCAGATGTGATGCCTTCTGTGTGGAAAACAGTGCGCACAGTGTGGAAACTAGAGAGCAATATTGTCCCTGTAAAGGCCCTCAGTCCAACTGTCACAGCAAACAGATGGCAGGGAGGGCTTCATGTTGGAAAAGAGACAATCATTTGTGTCTAATCTGCCAGCTATTTTTTTTAACTAACTGGCTCTGTTTAGCCCATAAAATGTCAATAAAAAACACATTTTTTAAAATTCTTTTTTCAATTTTCTGGAGGTCGGGTTTTACTCTTACTGACTTACTCGACACCACAGATCTTTTCCATTGTGTTCATGAATATATTGACATTTATACTCATTTTGTCAGTACTTGCCAGCTGTTTAGATCAATAATTCATTGTAATAGAATAATTAATGTAGCCTAAACCAAGTGGCAGAAAAAATCTATTGAAAAATAAGAAATTCATTGAGTCCTTGCTATAGAAGCTACCATTCTTGAATGAAAAACAACTTAATGATTGCAGCAGTTGTCTAATGTCTCAAACATTGTGGCCCAAGTCTTGTAGTCTGCTCGCACACACTGCTCTGGACAATCCAATTAGCCATTCTGTAACCTAAAAATCACATTTTTATTCACATTTTTGGATCTTTTGAAAATGTTTTGTTTACCTGTTCTGCGATTTCCTGCCTTTTCAGTTCCAGCATTCTCTGCTGCTCATTGGTGTGATCCACAATGTTCTTCCCACCGACCAGGAGTTTACTCTCCATCTCCTGGATGGAGGAAAAAAACACAGGATGAATGACAGCTTCAAGTCATATGAGAGGAAAAAGGCAAATGACTTCAATGAACGCTGAAATTTAAAAGCTTTTGACAAGAAGTAGAGTCTGCGTTATTCCTTCTGTTTACATTCAGTGTGTTCAGACAGATGATTACAGTAAAATCAGTTTACCTTAACTTTAGCTGCAAGCATCTCTCCAGCCTCCCTCTCTCTCCTCAAGTCCTCCATTTTCTTCGCCTTCTCCTTGAGCAGCCGAGCTTTCTCCTCGGCCACCAGGCTGTGATCCTCCATGATGGCCCTCCTCTCCCTTTCCAGCTTCTCCTGCTGCTCCCGCCAGTAATCGCCTTTGTCCTCTCCGTCTTCCTCGTCGTCCTCCGTCTCTCCATCTTCCAGATCCTCGCTGTCGCTCCCTTCTCCGGCCCTCCTCCTCTGCCTCCTCCGCTTCTTCTTTCCCGAACGCTTCTGCAGCTGCTCCTTCAGCCTCGCGATCTCCTCCTGAAACTCCCTGAGCAGAGCGTCCTTGGGGTCCTCATTGATACGTGGTTTATTCTTGATGTTTTTGGCCCTGTTGGAGTAGCGCAGCGTTGTCAAGGTCTCCTCAACGTTGTAGGACGCCGGGCCGATGTTGGCGACCATGACGGTGCGGGCGTTTCCCCCCAGGGAGTCCTGCAGCAGACGGGTGAGCTTTGAGTCTCTGTAAGGGATGTGGCTGCTCCTGCCGTCCACCAGAGCTGATATGACGTTACCCAGAGCAGAAAGCGACAGATTGATCTTTGTGGCTTCTTTCAGCCTCTCCCCCTGAGCACCGGTCTTGGCTTGCCTTTCACTGCCGGCTAAATCTACCAGGTTCAGTTTGCCAACTCTTATATGATTCTCCCCGTCCACACCCAGCTCGCTGCACTCCACCGTGATGACAAAGATGGCGTGAGAACGTGAGCTGTGTTCATTCATGTTGGTGGCACCGACTGAGCGATTCTGGTTGCCCACGTTCATGACATGCTCGATCTCCCGAACGCTCTTGGTGACAAACGATGAAAGGTCTTTAACATACACACCGGTGTCGGGCCTCTCCCTGAGCTCCAGACGACGCGACTGATCTTTGGAGAGCAAGTCTCTGATCTCCTCCTGGTAAATCTCTAGATATGATGCTCTCACCAGGTACTGCTGGTTCTGTGAGCGTGAAATGTGTGTGAAGATGTGCTCGAAGGAGTTGGGGATCACCCCTCTCCTCTCTGGATCATTCCTCACTCCCTCCATAGTGTACGTCTTCCCTGTACCCGTCTGGCCGTAGGCAAAAATAGTCCCATTGAACCCGAGAAGAACAGAATCAACCAGCGGTCTGAAGGTTTCATCATAGAGATCTATTTGTTTGGAGTTCCAGTCATAGACCGAATCAAAGGTGAAGACTTTGGGGAGTTCGTTGGCTGAAGCCTCCCTTGGGTTTCTGACCATAATCTGGCCCAGTTTGACATCGACAGAGACCACCCTTTCAAACTTGGCAGCCCGCTCCTTCTCATTCATGGGGCGGCAGCGGACCACCACCTTGACTGACTCGGAGCTCTTGCTCTTGGACATGTTGAGCAGCTGCCGACCGTCACTGTAAAGCTCCTGGTGTCCTCCGTCTGAGGTGCAGCTTCAGGAACAGGTCACCAACGGAAATGCCCACATCTGAACCTGCAGGGGCAAAAACGTGAGCGATTTAAACGAGTGAGATACAAAGGTGATGGTTAAAGAATCACATATTTGTACAAACTGGGCTCAACAAAGTGAGTCCTTTGGTGGAACTGACAGACAGACAGACAGCGATATAGCTCTTCCTGTCAATAACACCTGTACTGCAGGTCAACAACACCTCGTACCAGTTAACACTAAACTTCATGACATCACAGTAAAACATCCCAACAGAAAATAGAACTCATCAGGTCAAAGTTATACTGAACAAAAATATAAACGCCTTCCTTTTATTCCTTTTAACAATTTGTTGTCCAATCGTACAGCATCTTTACAGAATACTGAAGGTTTTGAAACAACCAAGTAAAAAACAGACAGATTGAGAGTGGGGTCGTCCTTTATTTTTTACTACAGCTGCTCCCACAAAATGCGCTGCTTCATGGTCTATACATGAAACTAGGCCAGCATGAGATTATTTATAACAACAATGCACCTTAAACCTGCAGTGCGAAATGAACGGTTATCTGCACGCTGCTCGTGTCTCGAGTTTGTTTATTCGTGTGTGACACTGCGCAGAGGATTGTGGGTCAGAATGGCCAGGAAACCACGCTCGCCTGCAGAATTCAAAATGTGACTGGATGTAGAAGGACATCCGGGTGTCTTTGGACATTCTAGATCACTCTCTGGCATGCCAAATTGTGTGGTAGCATGAATACTGGAATGCAGCCTAGATATCCCAAGTCAGTCATAAATCACACACCTGCCACACAGAGGCTTAATGAACTTGTCAGTGCTGCTTGTGGTGTGTCGTCCCAACCTTTCCTGAAGGATCCGGTGAAGCCGGATGACATTTTCGTGGACAGGAATATGATGTGGCGATTGTCTGCTGTATCATGCTGCCTGAAACGACGCCTTACATCATTCTTTTATCGTCTGCGGCATCGTGCCATTTGAATAGAGCTGCATTTTAAGGCGGACTTTTATAGTCGCTGGTCAAAGGAGTGCCTGATCACACGACCTGATCCTTTAAAGCCACATCTGACTAATGTGGATTAGTTTAGTGATCAAACTGTGTCATTTGAATAAAGATGCATTTCAAGGTGGCCCTTTGTGGTCACTGGTCAAAGGAGTGTCTGTGTGCACCTTCTGATCCTTTAAAGCCACACCTGACTGATGTAGATTAAAACTGTCACCAGATGAACACCTCAAAAACTTCTACTGCATAATTGGTTGAATTTAACCTTATTCTAACCACAACAACATACATTTTTGCTTTTTCTCTCAGTGACAAAAGATTACTAGCATGTCATGTAGTTGTTTAAATGAATAATCTTTTATAATATTTACACACACACACAGCAGTAAGCAACAGCATGTACACACTGTCCTAACTGTTGAGTGTAATTAGCTAGCTGAGTTTAACCCATTAACCAATCTCCCACTACTAGTTAACGCTGGATATCCAGGTGATAAAGTGACAGCCTTTTGCCACCTCTTCATTTGTGCGTTTAGCTACAGTTTGCTCAGTTAATATTACCGAGGATTAGTCAAAGTGCCGGCTCGGCTAACCAACGCTAGCCCATAACTGGACCACAACACCGGCCTCGCAACGGCAAACACACTGGTAACCTAAGCTACGAATGTGCTAGCATTACCTGGCTAACACTGTTAGCGAAGGGCACAAATCAATTCAACGCGTCGGCACACGGAGACAAAACACACCGGCTACACGATTCTCACTACGAACAGCTTCACAACACACACAGACACAGACACAGACACACAAAAGGTGAGAATTAAGGTTTACCAGTGGCGGACGTTAGCTAATCCAAAAACTCCCAGTCAGCCGTTAGCCGCTGCTCATCCTCCCCGCAACGGTCCGGGGCAGGGTTGCCAGGTTCTCCGAGTACATCCCCCTTCCCAAAGAGGCACGACTGACAACACACTTACCGGAATGAATACTGTAATCGCAGTGAATACATATCTTACAGTTAAATACACATACAAGGATTCTTTAACTATTAAAATATCAACTCAACTGTGCCCTCACACGGGCAGTATAAGGAATAAAAATTCACGTATCCAGGCTTATCTGGCAACCGGATCTGCACACACTTGCCCAACATAGCTTAGCATATCAGCTGATTGAACTGCGCTAAGCTTCCAGTGAGAGAGGAAAACATCCTGAAGCCTTGAGTTCTTGGAAAATAAACTAGTTCACACCACTTTATTGATGAAAAACACTGTAGAAAAACTTCTGCATCATCGCATTCTCAACATACACCCAACCAGTGCAAATGAAAACTCCTTGAAACACCGGTGACACTTTTGTTCACATTCTCCCAATAACAATACTGTCAGTACAAAGTTTCACACATTTTTATCAAAGTATTTGGTCCTAGGAAAGCGAGGGGCGAGACGTCTCCTGTCTATATTTAGTGTGTAGAGGAGGATCAGTTACTGTGCTCTCAAAGGAATGGAGGGCGACTAAAGGAAAGGTGGGAAAAGAGCGAGAGAGAGAACACATCGCTGACAGTGCAATCGGTCTTCTACAGGGTTCGCTGAGGTAACATGAGGTTCTGCCAACATGTCTGGGCTGCAAGGCATGGCTGCGACCACAGAATGAGGCAGCGTGTAACGGAAACGCTGGGGAAGTGGTGTGCTTCTCCGATGGAAGGGAAAACTGGTGAGCAAAAACTATAATTTAAGAAGGGACATACAGATAGTGTGTTTTCAAGCAGGAAACAGACAAAAATAGTGTTTCTTGGCAGCAGCATTCTCAATGTCATGACACTCACATGCTACATCCCATCGTCCTCCGTTCTCACTCATTAAAAGCCACTTTAAAACCAGATCCCCCCTGTGCTTTCAGTTCTGCAAGTTTTGAAACCAATGCGTCACATTTCAGCACGCCCTCCCTCCCTTCCTGATGGCAGTCTTTCAGCATTAGTGTCCTGAGGCCGACCACATGACACTCAGAGTTCCTCCTTGTGATTTGGTTTTCCTGGTTTGTCCATGCCGAAGAAGGAGGACGGGAGGCCGCGGACATCTCGCTGTCTCTTTACAAAGGCCGAAAAGGAGGAGACGCAGTTGCCGATAAAGTGGTCAGCTTGGCCCAAGATGTACAGATCCATCTGAGCCGAGTCCGGCTGCAGAGTCACCACTTTAACCTGCAGGAAACACACATAACATACAAGAAGGGCTGGATTCTGTTCTTATGAGTTAAAGCTAGGACTTTAGAGGGCTTCTGTAAACCATGTGAAGAATTTGCAAACTGTGACAAAACCTGTTTAACAAATTCTACAACAGACAAGTCTGTCAAAATTTAAGTTCCCAGTTCAAGGTCAAATTTCACAGTAAAAAACTCCCAAACCCACCTTCCCCTTGAAGAGCTTTTCAATATCTCTGCTGTGGGAATCGGAGTCGGTGGCGATGTAAACGGAGCGGGCGGAGGTCTTCTTCACCCACAGCTTCACAGCCCTGCGGATCTCCGCCAGGTCAGGAAGGCACATGGTCATGGTGAGGGGAAGAGCCGTCTGCCGGTTGTAGCCGACACACTGAGGGGAGGCCATGAAGTGAGGACCGGCGTCGCCGCTCTTCAGCAGCTTGCAGGCATTTTGCTGTCAGAGAAGGAAAAGATTGGCGACACTGTGCAAACAGCAAAGGTAAAAAAATATCAAAACGTCACCTGCATCAAGCCTGATGTGAACCACGACTTAAAGAACAAGTCCGGAGAGGCTCCACATTTTTTTTAACAACTTAGATTTTAATCAAATCCAATAAAAAGACGAAGAGCAACAACTAGGTGACGTTCATTTACTGGCACGATCACAAAGTGAGCTTTATTTGGAATCAATCTACAAAATCCATCTTGCTGCTGGAAATATTCACTATAGCATCAATTATCTGCCCCCAAGATCAATGACCAGCAGAAGCATCATTCACTTCTGTTCTGTTAAAAACTACATGAGCCACCTGCTCTTGGAATTGCTGAGCTGTAAAAATATATACTAGTATATATACTAATTTAATATTTTACTAAATTCAATTAACGTCTTTCAAACATAGAACAGGGTGAACAGAGCAATGGATCAGATTTTGTTGTTCTGAAAACAAACATCTGATGTCCATGATTTCTGTAGAACCGTATGAGTCCAGGCTTGTGATCTCACCCAGTCAATGCCAATCCTCAGGTGAATGCCAACATACGGTCTGGTCAGCAGGGTAGATATGTGCTCCTCTCCTTCCTTCACCATCTTGTCTGACCAAACCATGTACCGCTGCAGGCCCACGTGCTCCTCTACCACGGGGAACTGGGCCGGAGCCCCGGGCAGCGCCAGGACTGGGTGTTCAGAGGGAGGGAACCTATTAAGAGACGAACCAGCCTGTTAGCAACTGCAGGGCAAAAAGACTTGCCACACATACGGATGATAAAATATGAGGTATTTTTAGTCGTCATGATCTCCTGTCACAGTGAACTCACTTCTTCATCCAGTGAGGTTGGTGGTAGGCACTGAAAGAAATCCCACCAAACAACACAGATCTGTCAAATTCCACTCCGGCGTAGTCCCAGAATGGACCAAATGGGTTCCCGTCCTGAAAATGAATCAGAACCATCCAACCATGTCAGAACCCTGGAACAGCATCTTTATAGTTACATTACTCAAAAGGGCCAGCAGTGGGCAGCATTTCACTCATTTTTCCTTAGAGACTTTGCTATTTATGTTATTAATTAGGTCTGATAATCTGTCGAATATAGTCAGTAAAAAAAAAAGGTCCTTTGAGATTCTAGCTCACCTTCATGGGGCAGGATTTCTTGTCTGCACTCCGCTGTGCAGCAGTCTCAAAGCAGTAGGCGTTCCTCTGCCCTGGGAGCCAGTGTTGAGGGGCCAGTTTCTCCATGAAGTCCTCCAGGCTGATCACACGGTGATAGGCAGACAAGGCCTCCAGCTGGAAGAACTCACTGTAGGGAACATGGACCTGGACAGAGCAGAACAGAGTGGACTGAAGCAACTCTGGCAAATTCAGGTTTCCAGGTTGACCAGAGCCTTGGTAGCGCACATGAAGGCTCACTTCACACACTTAATGGAACTAAAAAAGCACGTATTTTATTATTTAGAGCTACTTAAACATACTGTTATGGAAAGAAAGCCTATTGATGAGCCAGACAAATGGCTTGTATGTTATTGTATTACTGGTTCGTCTGCTTTTCTTTTACACTTTTAATAGCCTGAAGACCATCTGTATGTACATAATGGTGCACAATTTGGCTTTTTTTTATCTGTCCATCTTTATCCCCTACTTCATTTTTGTGATTTATGTAACTTTGTTTTTGATTCACAAACAGACCGTGCAGTCAGCAGTGTACTCACATTGGTGTAGGGGGGCGTGTGGTGGCGGTACACTATCCAGGGAGGGACTGCCAGGGTTCGGTTCAACATCTTTGCAAAGGCCAGAGATCCCAGGAAGTGGTCTGCCTGGTTTCCAAAGCGACCTGAACAATAACAATAGGTACTTCACACTCTCACCTTCAACAGTAAATTTTGTGCTCTGTCTCAAAAATGGACGTCTGAGGGGCGCGTAGGATACGTCTGCATGCTTAATACTCAAATCAAATCAAAGTTGTTTCTGTAGCAGGTTTTAAAACAACTCAGGAACAGGATCAATACATTTAAATACTTAAGATCAGTTTTTACAATAAACTAAACACAAAATCTGAAACTTTTAAAACCACTAAGCGTCAATAGATGCCATCGCAAACATGTACGTCTTGAGATTTTTGCTGAAAGTGTGACTGGATGAGGAACATTTGATTGAGAAAGGAAGGCTGTCGTTCCTTTTACAGCATATACACGATCATGTTCACCCATCAGCCTCCATCTTGGTATCATAAAGCAGCTGTGGAGGTGGGCAGAGAAGTTCTAAAATGCACCCAGGTCTGGCTTCATAAAACACATGAAAGAACCTTAAAACTGGTTCTGTGTTTAACAAGTAGGTAGCACAGGGATGCGAGTGCAGGTGTGATTCTGTTTAGTTTTTTTAGTACCAGTGAAAAGTCTTGCAGCAACTCCGGACGAGACAGAGAACCGGCTGTCAGTCATCTGTCTCGAGGACATTCATCCCATTAGATTAGATCTTATTGCTTTTCTACAAGGCACTGCATGTCTAATGTCATGTTGTCTTGTTTTCTGTTATCTAGCAAAAGAATGTCCTTAACTAAGTTTTAGCTTGGATTGGAATCTGGCAACGCTCCTCAGCTGCAAGCAGCACCCTGTACCACTGAGTTAATCTGTCTAATATCAGTGCTGGGTCACAGATGGCACCAAGCTTCCTGTCATGGGCATGAAGGTTTGCTGTCAGTAGGGCCTCTGTGGCTGGTTCTGGTCGCTGAGGAACCAAACACAGTCACTTCTGTCCAGTATGAAGGCTAATCCATCACCTCCCAGGTCAGAAGAGACGGCTACAGGGAACTGGTACGTGTTTTTAATTGATCCTGACAGTTCCTAGAAAAAGTAATGCTAATACTGAATGCTAACACATGAGTGGGGGCTAACTGCTAACTAGCTACTGTTCTGTTGTTAAGATGTTGAAATGTGCTTAAATTTGAGATTTTTCTGACATAAAGCGACTAAAAAACAGAATGTTTGAACTGAGGAATGGCTCCTAAAAGCGTTCAACACGAACCCGGGTCCGGATTTAGGAGAACTCAAAAACTTCTGAGTAAACTTTTTGGATTTGTTAGCATCTTTCTGCTACGACAGATGTGTAGCTACAGAGAGTGAGTTACCCATGCAAGGGCAGTACAACACGTAGCCATTCTCATCCCACTGCGGCTCTCCGGCAAAAGTCCGACAAGTCTGGAGCAGAAGTGCTGAAAGCAAACATGTCAGTGTGAGACCGTGAACTGCTTGTTGATGAACCGCCATTGTGGTTCATGCCGTGTCCCAGAATGCACCGAGGCGGCGGCTTCTTCTTCGTTGGAGTTCAATAGCGGTAAGTGGTTGGTGCTTTGGCGCCACCTGCTGGTCTGGAGGGTGAATCACGATGACTAGTGTTATTTAACACACTTTGAAAAAAACAAAAACACAACTCTTATTTATTAATTAATTTGTCCATGACACCGAAATGTAATATATTATAAATAATAATTATATCCCATAGTACAGTAGTTCTCAGACTTTTTGAGCCACGACCCCCGAGATAACATAAGTTTGTGTTCGTGACTCCTCAATTTGAATTGTCAATATATCATGAGTAATAACTTAGTTGTTCATGTATTAATGCGTTAAAAATTAATGTGTTGATTCCACAGTTTAATCTCTGTATTAGCACGTTAACTTTCTTTTGAATTAATGAATTAATTGAATTTATTTCGAACAAATGAAAGGGGAAAAAAATATAAAAACAAAAGAAAATAATTTTAAAAAGAGCAAAAAAGAATAATAATATCACATAATCAAATCATCATATTAACAAGTCCGAAAAAAAGAGTGGGAAGAAGTAAACACTTTTAATTTTGACAGCCCTAATACACATTTGTTTAATAAATGTGGGCTTTATTTATTTATTTATTTATTTTACAATCATCTGGAAACCCCCTGAAATGATCCCCACGGGGGTCCCGACCCCCAGTTTGAGAACCACTGCCATAGTACATATATAAATAGAGCACAACAAACTGTGGAGTAAACCGAGGTAAGACTCTTCTTAACCATATTTCCCCTCCTGACTAGTAGATAGAGCTTAATTTCAGATCTTTTCTTTGATTATAGTGACCTTACTAAGCTTTTAACAGTATTTAAATCATTTTACTGATCTGAAGAAACCAGAAGAAGAGGTTTAGAGGTAATGTAATATTCTGACAAAATAAGCCTCTGATTTAAAAAAAAAAAAAAAGACTGTACACATACAAACCTGCATTTGGTGTTGATATGAGAATCATGTGGAGGATTATCTGTTAGTTTAAACAAAAAAAAGGACCCAAACATGAAAATGTCAGAGTCGGACTTTTGGGGGGAAACAAAAGTGTCATCTCCAACTAAAGAATCTCTTTATCTATGGGATGTTTCTTCACACACTTAATGGATCCTTAAAGTACAATTAGAGCTGCAACACTTACAATGTTGTAAATACTGTCTGCTGTGAACACTGTAGTGTGAACTGGAAATACCTCCTTTGCTTTAATATTTTACATTTTATATTATATATATATATATTCATCTTTCCTTTCATGTTATTTTATCGTATCTTTTTTTTTTTACTTGTGTGTTGCTGCCACAAAAAGATGCTACAACAACATTTCACTGCTGTATTATCAATTAATTTGCAGATTATTTTCTCAATTAATCAATTAGTTATTTGAATACATTAGAAAACAGAAAGACATCACAGTTTCTCCAGTGCCAGGGCGACATCTATTAATATACTGTTGTGTCTGAAACAATATTCAAGAACCTAAATATATTGTCATGGAAGATACAGAGAAATGCTGCATATTTCTACATACAACTTCTTTCTTTCTTTCTTTCTTTCTTTCTTTCTTAGAGCTCGGTTGGTACACAAAAAAACAAGTTTGTAGTTATTCTTTCAAGAAAGGAAAGATGGGCTTTTACAGAACTTTGCCATGTTTTGCTCCAGCAGCAGTCACAGTTGCCTTTATTATGTTTTCCTGTTTTGAATATGAGAATCTAAGCTTTAGTATTACTCTGGTATTTATCTGCTCTTTCCTGCACATCGTATTCCTCCTTCTTCTCTTTTAACTCTCTAAAACCATCATCCTTTCCTCTCCTCCTGTCATTGTTTTTGTCACTTTTACTTCAGACTTAACCTTTTTTCTATCCTTCTGTGGTAAAATCTGTGTGATTTTTTTATTTTTATTTATTTTTTTACAGCTTCCTTTGCAGCTCTATCTACGATTTCTGTTCTTTTAATTCCAATATGTGCTGGTACCCAGAAAAGACCCATAATTTGAATTCTGTGTAACTGTATGTGCACTGTAAGCTGCATAACGATGAGTCTCAACAAATCATTTTTCTCTTGCGTCCTCTATCACTGCACTGCTAACAATCCTGCAGCATCTGTTCTGTGCAAACTGACAATCCCTCATCGTTGCATCATAGCGCCCTCTTCACACATAGTTGTACAGCAGTGGTACTACTGAACTAATGTTTAACTGCACTACTTTAAGCTCCGTTGCTTTCTCTGTTACTGTCCATCCAAAGGTATTTAGTTCCCACTGAGTTAATTTACAGTTACAGCCGTGATCACCCGACACGAGACACTTTAAATGACCTTCAGTAAGTCACTGACATCTGCATCCTTCTCAGTTCCTGTGGTTTTTGTTCCATTTCCACCTGTAATGATGCAGTAGGGGTTGTTCTGATGCATCTGTGTGTAACCTCAAAGCCTGATATTGGATCTGACTCTCTGAGCTGCTGCTGATTCATACACGACACAACCAAAAGCTAATTAACACACTGTTAATAGAAAGTGGTTCCATCTGCCCCCAGTTTTCTAGATTAATCCAATCATGTCTGAATATCTACAGCCCAAGTCAACCTTCAAGCAAACCGTAGCCTTTAAAACTTAGTGTTCTTGATTATAACTGCAGGTCTGCCTCACTCCCTTGTAGAGAATAGTGTCTTTGTTTTAGATGAAAATATAAAACCAGAATACTGACTGCTGAGGCCTCTCCTTCTTCTTTCATGGAGGATTCAAACAGGACTAAAAAACTGATCTGCTGCCACCTGCTGTACTGGAGGTAGTAGAGTCTCAAAGGTGCATCCCATTGCACTGGTGAAAACATTAGATAAGGTGTAACTGACTCTGCAATTAGCATCGTTGCCTCGCAGCTAGAACGTCGCCGATTCGCATCCTGGTGAGGACACCCGGGATCTTTCTGCGTGGAGTCTCCATGTTCTCCCCGTGCAGCGTGGGTTCTCTCCAGGTTCTCCGGCTTCCTCCCACAGTCCAGAAACATGTTGAGGTTAATTGGTGATTCTAAATTGTCCGTAGGTGTGAATGTGAGTGAGCTTGGTTGTCTGTCTCTAAGTGTGGCCCTGTGATAGACTGGTTACCTGTCCAGGTGAACCTGCCTTCACCCTGAGTCAGCTGGGATAGACTCCAGCCCCCCATGACCCTGGTGAGGATTAATCGGTGTATAGATAATGGATGGATGGAATAATTAAACCCCTGAGAATTACAGGAGCCTCAGTATTTACAGTGTTTATCATCTTGTGGCTGCAGAGACACAGTTTGTGATCCACTAAAGAGGAAATAAAGGTCTACACTAGTTTTTTATTGGCTCTATAGATGCAAATAGAAGAGGTGTGAAGGAATCTGAACACTTTGTAATAAGCTGCTATTTGTCTAAAATAATAACTGTTGTTCACTAAATAACCAGAAAAGCGGTTTAACAACATCTTGATTATCTGTTGCTGATGTGTCAAGCAGTGGAAAACATCTACAGTTATTCTAACAGGACGGTAACAAATTTATTTGTTTATTTTTTCCTTGATGGATAATTCGATTCATAAGGATTGAATTAAAATATCCAGAACTGATTGTGTTCATCAGATTGGTCTTTATCTGCTGCAGATCATGATGAATATATTGTGTTGTAGCTCTGAAGGTTTTGGATAAAAAAATCTCTGTTAAATCCTGAACCCTGCGGCGTGATCGTCTCCTGTGTGAGATATGAAAATACAAAAACGATCCAGTCACTAGAAATCCACCAGTAATCCTCACAGACAAACGTGAGAGCGTTACTGCAGCCATTTGTTGATTTTCATGTGTGAATAAAGTGCGACAGCTTTAAACTAAACTGAGACGTGAACCGTTGAGAATTGGATGCAGCTCTTGCAAAATGAGGATGTGGGAACACGTGTAGGGTTTTTTTTCTAGCATTAAGTGTTAAGTTATTTTCTGCAACTGGACAGAAGACAAGCGACAGCCACCTCCTGGTTCTTGGTGTTTCTGACAAACTCAGACACCCTAAAGTATGATTAAAGCCCTGAGAGAGGCTGTAATACAAAGGCCTAGAAAGACAGCGAAGATGAGAAAAAACATGTCGTCTACACAAGTTGTACAATCCTGATTTTTTCCCTTTCTGCAGCAAAAACACCTGCAAGGAGGCAGCCATGATGTCCTTGCTCAGTGCCACAGCTGGAATGTTGAATTTTGAAAGATCTGACAATAAGAGCACAAATCTGAGAGCAGAAGTTTCATGAGTGCTCAGAAGAAGTCTGAGTGTTTTGAGATGTACTTTAAACGAAGCACAAAGCATTCGTACGGCAGCAGATTTGCACCTGAGCAGCAGTGATCTGACAGACGGGGGCAGAGATTTGATGGAAATCATTACAAATCTGAGCATGAAGTGGATTAATAAGGCTACGAAGGTGCTTTAAAACATTTTCACCTGAAAACAAGGGGCTTAACACCCACTTTGGAGCATAATTGTTCACTATAAAGCCTTATGTCACCGTCCACAAAAGCTCAGATGTTTGAGGCAATCAAAGGAAAACGGAGAGGAAAGCTTCAAGCTGGCTGCTGTTGCTCCAGGACAATGAGTCCGTCCACACAAGGTGGCAGAAGCAGCCAAATGTGGCTTTGAACTGTTGCCTCATGAACCTCACTCACCCGACCTGCACCGTCTGACCTCTATCCGTTTGACCTTCTTCTACAAAGCTATCGCGAAGCATGAAAGGAGACCACGTTTATAAAATAATGCAAGAACAGTTTCTGTGATGATTTCTGTTGAGGCTGAAGAACCAAAAGCACGCCAGCTGTAGCTCAATGTGTCCGTCCACACAGCTTCAGGTGGCAGAAGCAGCTAAATGTGGCTTTAAACTGCTGCTCCATGAACCTCACTCACCGTCTGACTTCTATCTATTTTGATGAAGTCGTGGCTGCTCATGAGTTTCTGGAGGCTGTAGATGTGAACTTCTTCTGTGAAGGGAGAGCAGAGCTTG